AGGCAGCCACCACAGAAATCCCAGATGCTGCTAAACGTCTCTCCCGGCCAAGGCCTGCCCGACGATCAGGTCCACCCAGCACGGCGAGGACATCAGCACAGGGCCAGGGCTGCGCGGGGATCTGAAGGTGGGGGAGGTCGCAGAGAGATGCTTTGCAATGAGCTACATCTCCAGCCCTTTCAAAGAAAAGTTTAAGACAGGGTCTCTCTAAGTTGCCCAGGTTGGGCTAAAACTTGCAATCCTCCTGCCTCGGCCTCCAATTATAAGCACGTGCCACCATACGCAGCTTGGACTTGTCTTCTGGCTGTTAACGTCCTTGTGTTTTGTCTCACTGTGAGTAAGAGGATCAAAGTAAACCTACGGCTGAGAAAGGGGTCACCGTAGCCTAGAGTGAGTCCCCAGATGCCCCAGTGCGGCCCGCTGTAATAACAATGAGAGTTCGGCTGATGGACCGCGGAGACAGCCTGGCTGCAGCCTGTCCTTTGGGCCCCTGTCCACTTCCTCTACACAGCCACTCCCAGCGGTCACACACATGTCCTCTTCTTCCTGATTTTTCTTGCGCTTTCCTACACTGCACCTGAAAATCAAGACAAACTCTGAAATGTCTGCTCTACTCCATCCCAGCGAATCCTCCCAGCCAGTCCTCAAAATCCTGGCCATGTTAACTCACCTGTCATGCCCCAAAGCCTCTCTGTACCTCAGAGAGAAGGGGCCTTACTCTGTGAACACCTTAGCACTTTTTGTTAGGTATATGCACTCAATACTTGTGTTTCTGAGGTCGGTACCGATGCTGGAGAGACTTCCTGGGAGTAAGGGATAAGAATAGCTAACTTGGCAGCTCCTACATGCTGCTTCTCAAACTATCTGTGGTGAAGAAGCAGTTTTTAAAAAATATATAGACTGGGCTGGGGATTTAGCTCAGTGGTTCTGCCACCTGCCTTGCAAGCTCAAGGTCCTGAGTTCGATCCCCGGTACTGGGAAAAAAAAAAATATATATATATAGATAGATAGATAGATAGACAGATAGATCACCAGGCATGGTGGCACACGCCTGTAATCCTAGCACTTGGGAGGCTGAGGCAGGAGGATCACTGCAAGTTCAAGGTCAGTTTAGGCTACACAGTGAGTTCAAGGCCAGCCTGGATGACACTGAGAGACCCTGTCTCAAAAAAATATATATGGTATTAAAAAATACATAGACTTGCTGGGGATTTAGCTCAGTGGTTCTGCTGCCTGCCTTGCAAGCGCAAGGACCCAAGTTCGATCCCTGGTACCAAAAATAAATAAATAAAATTAAAAAATAAAAAATCCGCAGACCACATTCAATGGACTAGTGCCCTTGGGAAGTACAGTTCAAATGAATCTGTAGAAAGTGATCGGGCTCCTGGTTGCCACGCAATTGTGTTGCTATCATCACGTCTGAGTGCTTACTCTCAGTCTTCACATTCCCCTGCGAGCGCCTCTGGAAGCCGGCCCTGGTCCGAGGGCCGCCCCGAGGGTCACAGCCAGCACCGTGGCTTTTGCAATAAAAATCAGCTGCAACCGCGGCTGGGGAGTTCAAACGTGAATAAGCGAAGGAATCGTGCGAAGGGCTTGTAAGAAGGCCAGACAGCGGAGCCCCAGCGCCAGAGCCCGGGACTCTGTCCATCTGTGCTAGGGCCAGAGGACCGTCCTTGCCAACAGCTTCCCGAAGACACTTTTGCTGCCCCTGCGGGGAGCCGCCTGCTCCAAAATCACCTCAGCGAAGACCAAACGGCGCCCGTGCTGCCCCCTTGTGGTGGTCTGCGGTTATAACACGCAGAGCGGCTGCAGGTCCCAGCGCCCGGTTAGCGGTTTGCGGGAGCCTTGAGAAGACAGGAGGGTCCCTACCTCGGGGCGGCTCTGCGCCTGGCACCTCCACGGGTGGCCGAGCAGGTGACGCTGGTGGGCGGCCTCGGGGTGACGTTGGAGGCGCAGGCTCAGCCGACGGCCTTGGCAACGCGGACGCGTTGGGTGGGACTCCAGGCGGTGGCACCTGCTGCTGAGGTGACACAGGTGACCGCCCAGGGGGTGCCACAGGCGGTGGTGACCCGGG